CACAGTCCAAACCAAACATAGATGTAATCAGCTTAGGGAAATGCTTCCATCTGTCAGGTCTACAATACACTACTTGGTACATGGCAGGTGAGCCTAAGTAGCTTTAGGTTGCAAGATGAGTTACGGACATTACAACTGTCGAGCTGATTTCACTGAAGGCTTTATGCTGTTCAGAAAAAAAGCTGTCTCTCTCTTTCCGCTTGTAAGAGATAAGACTCTCTGATAGGTGGAGTCTGAAAAGAACAGAGTGCCTGGCTGACACTAGCTAGACAGGTGGCCACAGTTACCTCATGTTGCTAGTGACTTTATTTCAGCAGAAACTGCATATTCAGATATAAAGAAACTGAGGGATTGATTCTAGTTCACTTTAAGTCCCTTCTAGGCCTCTCCGTGGCACAAAGGGGAAGTAGAGAAGCCTCTCCCCTATGGTGTCCCTCTGTTGGTAGCAAGCGTTCCCTGTGTAGACAGGGGGCCTCTAGCGCACATGGCTGATTTCACACTGAATTATGTCTCTCCACCTACTAGCTATCAGGTGCTGGACCACAGCACCCCATCTATCTAGGGTACATATATAGCCCCCATATCACCATGCTATCCGAGCACCTCATGCTCATTCATGTATTTATCCTCATAACATCTCACAAGGTAGGAAAGTAGATAGGAATTTGTGGTCTAAAGAAGCTAAGGGACTTGGCCAGGCTCACACAGAAAGCTTGTGACAGAAGAGGGCATTGAACCCAGGTTTTCAACTAGTTTCATAACTACTAGAACAGCCATACTCTGACAATCTATGCGGTTGCCACCATGACCTACTATGGATGGCCCCATTTCAGGCAGTTTTTGTGAACCCCTAGCCACCATCCCTTTGCTAATATTTGGAAGTGCAGCCATTGCACACCATGCTTGTTTGCTGTGCATCTGCATGATCCCATACAGAAAGTGTTCCTATTCCTGTGCAATTTTTTGGCTTATTTATAGAATTTATGACCCTTTTTGAACAGCTGTGGTGGACCTGTCCCTACATACTCATGATATTCCATGATATGTTATACCACCACTGCAATTCTTTTGAAACTGGATCTAGTCTCCTTTGTCTTCTGCTTGGGACCTCCTGGTATCCCCATCCAGATGACTCTTGAGTCATGTCTTGTGACTGCAGACTCTGGCTCTGACTACTAGGTTTGGCTGCCATGACCTAACTGTGACAGGCTGGAGTTCTTGTGAGAATAGACTTTCTGATGAGATATCATGTTGTGACAATCTTTACCCCTGTATTCACCTCTTGCACACTATTGTAGCAATCTTGGTGAAAGTATGACTAGTGAGTCATATCTAGTGAGTCAGACTAGTATCACTGGAAATCTCAACTTTTGCGAGAAGCCGGGAATGGGCAGCAGTGGATAGACCACTTGCTAATTACCTGTTTTGTTCATTCCCTCTGAAGCACCTGGCATTGGCACTTTCAGAATACAGGATACTGGGTTAGATGGACATTTGGTCTGACCCAGTATAGCCATTCTTATGTTCTTAACTGGCTGGTCAATATTGTCCTGATAATATGTGTGTGGCAACATTGTATGTAAAGTTGTAAGATTGCTCTGTGTGGTATAAGTGAAACATGTTCCACATCGTTTGTGGGGAGTGGCCACAAACCAGTTCCCTAGATACAAAAGGCAAGCTGACGCCTCAGCCAGCTGTCATCAAACGGCCTATCACCTCGTTAAGTGCCCACTCTGTGGCACGAAAGAGGGTGTCGATTAAAAATCTACATCTTCACAAAAAACAGCTTTGGATTCCTGTCCACACAGACTTTCTGTCTCCTGAACCGCAGCTGGAGATGGTTCTTGAAGAAGAGAAAAATCCATAAGAAGGGAGAGCAGATGCCCCAAATCATTCCTCCCTTTCTTTCTGCCCATGGAAGCCACAACACCTGAAGAACAAAGGAAGGGGGGAGGGATCCTGACTGAAAGAAGTTCAGCCAGTAAGTTTGCTGAAACATGTGGTGAGGGAGACTTTGCTTTGAATTCATGTAGTTGTTAAATTACGCATTAGTTGCATTTTACTTTTATTTTCTTGTAATCTATTCTTAAACCTCATTACTTGTATTCACTTAAAATCTATCCTTTTGTCATTAATACACTTGTTTTATAGTTTTATCTAAACCAGTGTGGTTGAATTGAAGTGTTTGGGAACCCCTAGTTGAGATAAGAGGATTTGTGCATATCATTTTTGATTAATAAAATGACGGACTTTGAGCTTGTTTTGTGCAGGAGCGAGCTGGGCAATACAAGATATACATTTGGGGGGAAAGTCTGGGACTGGTTTGCTGGTGTTGCTCTGCAGTGTAATCTGAGGGTGGCTGGCTGCAGAATTCATACACTATTACTGGGAGTAGCTGCTGGAGGCTGTATGAGAGCAGACCAGGAATGGTACCTCTCCCAACCAAGCAGTGTAAAAGGCACCCCCAGCTGGAGAACTGAGGGGACACATTTGTTCCTCAGTCCAGATTGTACCTTGGGTATGTCACACCCGTATGCTTTGCTTTTGGTGAAACTAGAAATACCACGAGACAACTGGCAGGTCCCCTGCTGGTGTATATCAGGATAGCTCCACAGAAATCAATGAAGCGATAGTCTTTTACACAAGTTGAAAATCTGGCTCAATATTTTGTGTCACATTATGTTAGTTTGACTCCTAGTCACATCTGGAACAATTAAGTACCAAAAGAGTGGAAAATGAGAAATACTGAGGAATAAAATTAACAAACAGCTGTTTGACATAATCAACAGGGGAATAATTATCTGATAACTACTGTGGCCTTTTTCCAATGGCCTGCTATTTGCTGTGGCTAATGTCCCTGCTGACGTCATCCAGGAATGTGGTTGGAGCATTATGGAGCCAATTCATAACTACTGTATTTATTGGTGCAAATTCAGACTTGAGATAAACAGGCAGTATCAGCTGAAGTGAATAGAGTTATTCCTGATCAGACAGAACTGTGTAGTTTCTAAGAATTGGCTTGATAGCTCTGGGGACACTTTATAAATGCAATTATTATTGTATTTGAAATCTCAGAAACCATTCGCTCTAAGGCTTTGTCTACACTTGCACTTTTTGTGTAAAACTTTTGTCAGTCAGGGGTGTGTATTTTCACACTGCTGACCAACATAAGTTTTACTGACAAAAGCACAGGTGTTGCAGCACTATGTTGGCAGGAGCTCCCCCTCCCCCCTCCCCCCGACATAGCTACCGCCACTCGTTAGGGATGGTTTAATTATGCTGGCAGGAGAGCTGTCTCTCGTCAGCATAGACAACGGCGCAGCTGCAGTGGCACAGTCTCTAGAGTTAGACATAGCCTAATTTGGGGGAGAAAGTCCTTTGGTATAAAGTGGGAGGTTGCTAATTTATCCTAACTGGTTTGCCTATTATAGCCTCTCTTTGTGAAGGTTAGGGTGTGTAATATCTATTGCGATGGAAGGGTGTGTTTGTGAGAGAGGGAAACTCTTTGCTTGTCACCCGTTGATTCTGGATGAGACATACCCCTGAATCTGTGACCGGAGTCAAGTAATCTATTTTCAAGGCATACTAACCTACAGCTGTTAGATTTCAGATAACAAAGTAGGCTTCCCCCACCAACAGTGAAAACAAAACAGGCTAAATTCCTGTAAAAGTGCCATCAAATCACATCAACTAGTCACTTTTTAATTTACGGACGTGTGCAGAAAATCCATTTCTAGGAAATTGGTATTGTTTTGGCTTGAAGTTGAAAACAAACCAACTGCCAGCTGGATTTTATTTTTCAATGTCATAAAACCCCAAATTTCTTGCCAAGGCCTTCCACATCATGGGCAGGCAACATTTTCAAGATTGAGTTCCAAAATGCATATCGAAATCCTAGTCCAATAACTGGCCTGACACAGGCAGTCCTGTCTGCAGTGTCATTTGCTTCAGTTATCAGATTGGGACCTTATGTACTTCAGACTTATTCCAGCAAAGTGTTTAAGCACATATCTAACTGTAACCATGTATGTGGTACCATTTACTCCAATTAGGCCTGTGGTCAGGATAAGTATATGCTTAACTAACCTTCAAAAATCTGACTAAATAGTGGAATCCAAAGTGACAATCATTTATTTGTGTTGACCAAAAAAATAACAAAATAGTCTCTTCCCCTACTAGTGAAGAATTTATTCCAGATAGGAAAAAGCTGTTGTGACATCACTAGAGGACTACAGGTATTTGGCTTTTTTCCTCCTTCATCACAATGCCCTGAGGAGATGGCTTTTCCATGACTATCAGTCCCCTGTGTTATGCTTTACTATTCAGAGATTATCATAGTTATACCTTGTTTTTCTATGGTGCTTCATCTCTATAAAAATATAACTATAAATGCATCTTGAAGTGTGAAGACAAGATATCCCCCTTACAGGTGGACCCCAGCATTTTTGGATGATCCAGTGATATTTCTGAAATATCATTTAAGGTCTTGTTGAGCTTAGAAAATTGCACCTAGCACAGAGTGAAGCAGAATGCTTAGTATGTGGTGTTTCATTCACCATGTTACAAACATATGCTCCATGAGCTGCCTTAGCTACCAGCTAATTTTCAGGCAATACTTATTTTGATGTCTACTAGGTTCTGACCTAGAAAGCAACAAATGATTTTGGATCTCTTTAACTGAGATGATCTTTCCCATATATGATACAATCATAAGGGCACTAATATTTAGGACTGAGGGTAATTACCCATTAGAACAATTTACCAAGGATTGTGGTGAATTCTCCATCACAGGCCACTTTTAAATCAAGATTGGATGTATTTTCTAAAAGAGATGCTCCAGTTCAAACAGGAATTATTTTGGGGAAGTTCTGTGACCTGTTGTTCAGAAGATCAGGCTTGATGATCAAAATGATCCCTTCTGGCCTTAGACTCTGTCCTTTGGACTAATTGTGAGAAAGCTGGCTTCATTCTGAGATCCCAAGTTGAGTTTACAGTGCTAGAAGATAAATATAAAAATATTTGCATAGAAAACTGATCAAATATGCTATCATAGTCTCTGAGGAAATAAATACAGAACCCCAGGAGCTAAATGTGCATGGGGTCATTTGTTTGAGTATTACCACACTTTAATCAGGTGTGATTATAGAATTCCTGGTCCTCCACAATTACCAGAGAGGATCAGGAAGTATTGCAATGGGGAGCTCAGTAAACTAGGAACATCCTGGTTAGAGAGTACTCTACTTGCTGCTGTGTGTATATCCTCACACGACAGGGTGTCAGAAGTTTATGAATCCCTCTCTACAGGAGCAAAGGAAAGAAAGGAGAGCCCTAAACAGTTAGAGTGAATTACTAGGGAAAGTAGATAATCAGGCAGGAGATCTGTAAAGCAACAACAGAAAGGAGGCAGAGCCCTGTCTCGGCAATAGCACAAAGGGCTCTTTTTGAAAAGTTTTATTTTGGTAATTCGGGCAGCTGGCCTTGCTGGATTTGTAGATTTGAGGGGTGGGGTTTTTTGGGGGTGGTGGTGGTGATAGGGTGGTTTATAGTTTAATGAAGAAAGCACAAAAATATCAGGTAAATGTCCTGATATTTGACATGGGTGATGCTGATGATTATACCCTATGTGCGGTACCTCTCTCTGCTGAGGAAAAGAATGAATACTCCAAAGTGAAAGAGGCTTTTGATGCCTGTTTGATAGGCAGACCGAATATTATATATGAAAGGGCCAAATTTAATAGGAGGTGTCAAAAACAAGGGGAAACAGCTAAGATTTTTATTACTGCAGTTCACAGTCTTACTGAACAATACAAATATGGAGTGTTAAAAGGAGAACCAATATGAGACAGGATATTGACATAAGACACACCAGTTTATAAGCACAGTTTTTAAGTTAGACACAGATCTCATGCTAGCAAAAGCTATAGCAAAAAGTGAGAATGCTGTTTCTATGGTTTTATGCAATGTCACTTACATGCTAGCAGAACAGGGAAGATGGTATCAGACAATACTGACACAGCAAAGAGGAGAAAAATACACAAGTGAAAGGAGCACTCACACCAAATTTACAACATAAGAACAGTACACCACTAGACAGGTTATTTGGTCTCCCACTTAATAAGAGGGATTGTTGGAAAAAGCTGTGGAAGATGTGGCAAAACACCAAGCCACAGCTGGCCAGCAAAAGAACCGAATGTAGGCGATGCCACAAAATGGGACATCTTGCAATAGCTTGCAGGTCACCCAGAGTAATGGAAACAATCCAAAAGGGAGTGGTATCTGATAACAATGAAAATGATTAGGGGGCTGGGGCACATGATTTACGAGGAGAGGCTGAGGGAACTGGGGTTATTTAGTCTGCAGAAGAGACGAGTGAGGGGGGATTTGATAGCAGCCTTCAACTACCTAAAGGGGGGTTCCAAAGAGGATGGAGCTAGGCTGTTCTCAGTGGTGGCAGATGACAGAAGCAGCAGCAATGGTCTCAAGTTGCAGTGGGGGAGGTCCAGGTTGGATATTAGGAAACACTATTTCTCTAGGAGGGTGGTGAAGCACTGGAATGGGTTACCTAGGGAGGTGGTGGAATCTCCATCCTTAGATGTTTTTAAGGCCCAGCTTGACAAAGCCCTGGCTGGGATGATTTAGTTGGTGTTGGTCCTGCTTTGAGCAGGGAATTGGACTAGATGACCTCCTGAGGTCTCTTCCAACCCTAATATTCTATGATTCTATGATTCTATGACAATAAGTCAATACTTCTAGGGACTACATCCTCAATAGAACAAACAGCACCTTGGTACACAAGCATAGATTTAAATGGTCAAAAACTGACATTTAAAACTGATAGTGGGGCAGCAGCTACTGCAGTTCCAAAAAAAAAAAAAATCAATCCCAGAATGGAGATCTGCAAAAATTTTGTATGGGGCTATAACAATACATTGGATGTTTGTTGCCATTTCTTTGGGAAACTGGAGAAAGGACTGAAAGTTCTTCATGAAATAATATATGTAATACAAGGATTGACAACTTCCCTACTATAAGGACTGTATCTAGTAGAGAAACTGGAATGCATTAACAACAACAAAATCAAACTACAGGAAATACCTTCACAGGGCTACAAAAACTGTCCAGGGAATACAAAATAAAACTGGTGTCATCAGCAACTCCCTTTGCTCTCACAGCCCCATGCCACATCCCAATACTTTTGCTAGGGAAAGTCAAAGAAGAATGAAAGAGAATGGAAGACAGGGGGATTGTTTCCCAAACAGAAGAATCCACTGTCTGGTATGTGGGGAGAGCTGTAGTACTAATGACCAATGGTAAAATCCCAATTTATGTGGATCTTACACAACTTATAAAACATGTGGAGAGAGAGTGAGAGATGCTTCCTGCAGTTGACCAGACATTAGCTCAGTTACCAGAAGCTAAAGTCTTCTCAAAGTTAGATTGTACAGCAGGCTGCCTGCAAATCCCTCTTGCTAAAGGGGCTATATCATTAATTCCATTAATTACCCCATTTGGAAGGTACTGTTTCAAGCATCTTCCAATTGACATATCTTCAGCAGCAGAACACTTACAAAAGAGAATCTTTCAGATCGTGTCAGAGTTGCCTGGCATCCTTTGCATGCAGATGTTGTGTTGGTATATGGCAGATATAAAAATGAACATGATGAGTGACTACATGCAGTTTTGAGACACTTCCAATAAGCTGGCTCTGAATGAGAGATGTGAATTTGGAAACGAGCAGATAAAGTCTGTAGGATACATAATTAGCAAACAGGGAATTCAACTGGATTTGGACAAACTGAAGTTATTACTTGCGTTACCCTAACCCAAAGAAGTTTATGCTCTAAGAAGATTCCTGGGCATGACAAATCATTTTTGAGAAATTCTTACCAAATTTAGCTCATCCAACAACCTTTAAGAGATATTCTTAATGGTCATGTTATGTGAATCTGAGCTATTCCACAACAAAACACATTTAATAAAATAAAAGTACTGCTGACATTACCACCTGTTTTGGCACAATGTTAGGTAAACTATCCAACTGTATCAGTGGACATACCTTCATATCATTTAGGAGCAGTGCTCTCACAGAAGAAGCCAGAAGTAGACCAGAGACCTGTTGTATTCATATTAAGAAGCTTCACAGAAACAAAGCAGTGGTAAGGTCATATGGAAGAGAAAGCTCTAGCAGTCATTTGGGTTTGTGAATGGCTCAGTTTGGGTTGAATTTCAACATAGGAACAGACTACAAACCCTTAGGGGCATTACAAGATTCCAAACCACTGGATGACCTTCTACCTATGAGTCAAAGATTTAGGTCGATGTGGTTTTCTTTTGACATTGAATACGTATGAGGGACAGCACTCATAGCAGCACACACTCTTTCTTGAGCCCCAATTAAGCAGTCACTAACAGTTGACGATACATGTTATGGCAGCAATTCCCAGAATCTGCTGGCCAACTTCAGCAAATTCGAGAACAACAAAAGGATGAGACTTGCCAGAAACTGACTCAACTCTGCCAAAGAGGGTGGGGTTGATGGAGGCAACCTTCAAGAGCCTTACTAGTATGCTGGCGGGACCACAATGACCTTCACATGGCTGATGGCCTGCTTCTGAAAGGATGGTACATTCTTATCCCCATGACACTTCAGAAAGAGATGATCTCCAAAATCCATGAGGGACACCAAGGTATAAATAAGTGCAGGGCATAAGCAAAACAATCCATACTGTGGCCCAGTCTGAGTAGGCAAATTTAAACTTTAGTAGATGGCTGTAAAATATGTAAAAAGGGGAAAATATCACCAGAACCATTATTTTCTACAAAGTTACCTGACAGACTTTGGCAGCAGGTAGACACAGATATGTGTGTCCTTTCCAGGAAAAAAAAAAACATATGTTATTGCAGCTGATTACTTCTCCAGCTATATTGACTTGGCTATACTTACACAGACTTCATCAGCACAGATCATCCAGAAACTAAAGTCAATACTTGTGAGTTCTTGAAGTCCTCATATCTGATAATTAGCTTCAATTTACTTCTTAAACTTTTCTAGCATTTGCACAGGACTTTGATTTTCAACATGATACTAATAGTCCACATTACTGAGAAAGAGGTGCAGACTTTAAAAAGACATCTGCAAAAATCAGTGGACCCATATACAGCACTCCTGGTATATCTGTCAACACTGCTCATGTCTGGACTATCTTCAGCATAACTTCTGATGTGAAGATGATGGAGGATACCTTTACCTGTGGCACTGATCCACCTTGAACCTCAGGCTAAAGGACCTGATCTGAAGGCTTTTTGAAATCAGGATGCTGAAATAAAAATTTGGTAAAAACAAAATGTCAATGTTTGACATAGAACAAAAATACTACCTGAACAAAAAGGACTACTCTGGAGGAATTGGGTTCATCTTCAGTGTTCCCAGCACAACGAAGAGAGTATCTGGAACCTGCTAGTGCTCTGTCAGGAAGTGAGCTCCGCTGTGCAAGGGACTCCATGCACAAACTCAGCAGAAATTAAAACAAAGTCTCGATCCTTGGATTACTGCTAAGGACTATTTAAATATAATTGATAAAGAGACATAGTAGTATAATTTAAAGGAATTTGAAGTTTATTTTGAATTTTTATGTGTATAAATTTTGGTTTATAACTTGTTTTAATTGTACTATAAAGAAAGGGAAATGTGGAGAGGTTATAAAGTTCCTGGTCCTTCACAGTTACCAGAGAGGACCCCAGAGTGTTCTGCAGCAGGGAGCTTAATAAATGTAGGAACTTACTAGTTACGGAATATTCTATGTGCTGCTTAAAGCATGGCTCTTTGTGTTTATGTCTTCACACTACAGCATTAATAATGACCATTTATTACAGGCTGGCCAAAAACTTTCCAGTTTAAAATTTCCAGACAGAAACATGTTATTTTGTAAGAAAGTGGGGGGAAGTCTTGCACTGCTGGATAGACCATATTCAGGCAAAATTTCAGCAGTTAGCACTTGGAGAAAATGAAGTGATTTC